GAGAATAAACACCCAATAAATCTGGACGGTTATATAAATATAAACCTCTCATCAAAACAAAACTAATAACCATGAAAACAAAAGAATTAAAAAAAAATTGTTTTCATATACAAAAATTTCAAAGCATAATTTTCAAAACCAAGAAAATTGTTTTCATAAAAAGTTTCAAAGCATAATTTTCAAAACCAAGAAAAGAAAAATAAAAACACTAAAATTCTTGGTTTAAATATCAAATTTGTTTTGGTAGCCAAGAACTCTTGGTACCAATGGATTTAGGGACATGACCCCTATCAATGAAGCTCAAAGCCCTAGGGTTATGAACCCTCTTGGGCATATATGGTGCACGGGATCGGTCATAGCAATAATCACTCAAATGACCATTCCGATTGCAATATGTACAATGGAAAGGAACCATTTGCTTATGTTGACCATTAAAAGGTGCACGTGGGACATTTGCAAATAAGGGTAGATTATTGGAAGCTTTTTGCAAATGTGAAACATTATCAAAACAAAACTTTCCTAGGTGGCCATGTTTACCACAAACATTACATTTATAAACATGTGGTCTACTAGAAATATTTGGCAAATGAGATTTATTTTTCAAATCAAAGAAATATTTGGCCAAATGACCAAAACGACCATAAAGATCACATGAATACACATGAGCATGCATATGATGAACTTTATGAGAGTGTGCATGTGCATGTGCATGTGATGAAGAAGCCTTATGAGATGCACAAGAAACATTAGTCTTGGAGGATTTATGTGCATCATAGCAAAACTTAGCTAAATGGCCTTTTCGACCACAAATGGAGCACTTATAAGTTTTACTATACAAGTGTGCAAAGTGTACGGGTTTAGAAGTTGTAGTACGAGACTTTGCACTCAAGTCCATAAGTTTCTTATTATCTACAATGCATGTTTTAAGGGTTGAATCTAAAGATGATATGCGTTCTTTAACATGACCCAACTCATTTTTAGGCATACAAGCATTGGAAATAGAAGTAGATGAAACATGATCATTTTTAAACGAACTAAACTTATTTCTAATAGTTTCTACTTCTATCATGGCATCATTCTTAGCATGAGTTAAGCTAGCAATAGATGAAGACATGTTATTATTTTCCAAACTTAATAACTCATTGTTTTCTTTTAAAATAGCATTCTCTTTAACAACAATATCAAGTTTGGAAGCTAGCGACTCATGATCAGATTTTAAACTAATATGCTTGCTTTTAAGATCAATAAAATTATTTTGCAATTTAGTATAGGCATGAGATAATCTATCATATGCACAAGCGAGTTCATCAATAGAAAAATCATTATCGGAATCGGAATCGGAATCGCTTACTACACAAGAGTTATCCTCTTGTGGCCGAGTGCATGATGCTCCACATGAACTTGAAGAAGAATCCTCCAAAGCTTGTCGGATTGCCTCCAAGTCCCCTTGATGTGCTTTAATAAATTTCCAAAGTTTGTAAGCACTATCAAAATAAATAAATTTGTTAGAAAAGGATGAGTCAAAAGCATTAAGCAAAAATTCTAACAAACGCTTGTTCATTGTAAACATTTTATTATCATGATCGCTCCATTTGGATTTCTTCAAAGTGGGCACAATGTAAGCACAATCAATAACATCCCATAAGTCAATATTTCTAGATTGCACAAATAGTTTAAATCTAGAAGCCCATTGTGCATAGGGGAAATTAATGAATTTAGGAGCAACATTTGATTCATAGCCTAAACGAAATACATTTATATTCATGATATATATGTGAATATATGCAAGCAAGACAAATGTAATCATAACTAGATTAGCACAAATAAGATAACTTGGATCTTTAACTCAAGGCGGTTAGTCCTTAAATCAAAGAGCATCAAGCTCTGATACCAATTGTTAGACCCTAGAGGGGGGTGATTAGGGTCTTATGCTAATCTAATCCGATTAAATACCAATTGAAAGTAATTAATAAGTTATCCTAGCAAGTATGAACTACAACAAGATATATGTGCTAGGATAAGCAATATGAACAATAAGATATATCCTAATAATGAGATATAGGCAATGTATGTGCAAGGATATATAAACAAAACAAGGGTAAATAATCTAAACAAGATAGTGGATGATATAGTAATGAGCAATGCACAATGGCGAAATAAGATATGAACATAAATAAAAGTGAACGCCAAAGCACACTCAAACACAATCAAGTGATCACGGAGTTCGGACCTTCCGTCCTACGTCTCCGCTCCCCACTCCCGGGGAAAAATCCACTATCAACCGGGTTTTCTACGTTCACACGAACAACGTTTACACCTCACACTTGGTTTTCTAGCTAACCGAAAAACTTTACAATCAACACACTATTGTAATCCCACTCTACACCGACTACGTGTTGGACCTACCGTCCGTCTCCGCCTCAAGTGCTCGGTTACAACCTCTCCCTAGGCTCGTCAACCGACGCCACTCCCCTTGGGACGATCCCCGACTCTCACCACACACTCCTCAGTCGGTATACAAGTGTATTACAAAGTGAATCTCACAATAAGCTCAATATAACAAATGATTGTTCTCAACTATGAATGAGAACACAATGAAAGCACAACTCAAAGTTACAATCTCTCACCACCCAACTATACTATGTATGTAAATACTAAAAGCTCAATGTTGGTGTGTGTAACAATGAGTAAAATAAAATCTAACTCAAATAGCAAACTAGCAATAATAAGAATATGAAAATAAATAATGAAATTACACAAAGAAGAGGATGAAGGGGATTGAGAATGAATCCCTCAATCTGCAGTGAAAACTTCCTCCTTTGTAAACAGAAATCCAAACTTAAACAAACAGTAAAACCCTAAATCCTTGTTTAAACACTTTGTTTAAAAACTTCTAGGATTACACTTGAAAGAGAGCAACAATAGGGTATTTATACCCACTCTAAATCTCAGCCAAAACCCCTAACAAAAGGTATTTATACCCACTCTAAATCTCAGCCAAAACCCCTAACAAAAGACAAAAAACAGCCCCAGCAAACAGCTCAGAAAAATAGCCGTTGGAAGCCAATGGATCTATTGTCGGTCGACCGGAAATTTCGTCGGTCGGCCGACAGAGAGCAAAAACACGAAAAAGCAGTTCTGGACCATCGTCGGTCGACCGGTGTGGTCGACCGATGGAGCTTTCGGTCGACCGGACCGGTCGACCGACCAACTCTCTGTCGCCCAGTGATGAAAGATCAAATGATCGGTCGACCGGTGCGGTCGACCGAAAACTGACATATGAAAATCTGATTTGCTGATTTTAAAATGCTGTTTAAAAATATCAAATAAATTCTAAAAAATGTAAAACTTTGGGGAATGATTGTAGACATGATAATAAACATGCTTCATATCTTCTTTATTTTCTCCTCATAGTTTTTAATAATTAAAAATTAGGCCATCTCCAACCGGCCTCTAAAAAGGCAAAATCTCCAAATTTGGAGAGTGGAACATCTCCAACCACTCTCCAAATTTGACCCTCCAAATTTGGAGGGTGAAGAGAAAATTTGGAGAGTCTCTCCAAAATACTATTCATGTTTCATTAATTACAACTTTGTCACTTTTAACTATTTAATTTCTTAAAAATTATCACTTTGTCATCATTCTTAGTAATTTAAATTAGATGTTTAATTTCAAATAAATATAGTTAAAAATTATTAATCTAATATTTGAAATCATTATATATTTGGAAAGGTCTCGTTGAGATCTTTAAAATGAAACTAAGATTAATTAATTTTAGTATTATTATAAAATTATTAATTTTTAAATTAAATAAATAAGTATCAGACATGAAATTTTTAATACGGGGATCTATTTAACTTGCTCTAAATTTTAAATTAAATAAATAAGTATCAGTCATGGAAAGGTCTCGTTGAGATTTTTAAATTAAACTAAGATTTTATTTTTTTAATATGTTGTATCGCATTATTAATATTTGGTTCATTTTAAAGCTCTCATCGACACCTTTATAATGTTATAATTTTTTCCCAAATAAATTATTAAAAATAATTATTAATGTAAACTATATTCAACATTATTAATTTATATGGTTTTTTTGACAAAAAAAAGAAAAACATTTGAAGAGTGTGGGTTGGAGCAACTCTCCAAATTCCACCCTTCAAATTGGAATATTCCTAGAATATTCCAATTTGGAGGGTGAAATTTGGAGAGCATGGTTAGAGATGCTCTTAGAGCAACTCCAATCGTCCCCAAGCGTCCGCCATTTCTCCATTTTGAAGCCGCGTCAATGTCCAACCGAACTGCATATTTTGCAGTCAGCTGCATATTCGGTTCCTGAGGCTGCAAATTTGGAGATTTCTCTCCAAATTTGTAGCCAACTCTATACACTATTCCCTAAAAAAAATACCAAAGTTAACCCTCAATCTCTTTAACAACATTTCATTATTCCAATTGTATCCCGTTATTATTTTTTATAGTTACTTAAAATCTGTATATATATATATATATATTAATATATTAAATATTTTTTAATGAAAATAATATCATTGGAAATGTTTCGTCGATACCTTCAAAATGAGACTAATATCGAAATATAAAATTGCAAAACAAGTAATTAGAAATGATAATACATTGGAGCTTAAAATGAAATAAAACACATTAACTTAGAATTACATCGAAACTTTAATAAAAAAAAGTTACATCACTTCATTGCCGTGTCTCTCCCACAAATGTTCAATTAATGCATTTCGAAGTGCGAAGTGTGCTTCTTTGTCTTTGAATTTCTTATGTCGGGTCAGGAATTGTCGGAACCGTTCAGCATCGTTCGTCCCTATGTCTTCAACATTTAAAATTGATGGTGGAGTAGAAATGATAATATCTTCTTGCTCATCACGTTCATCCTCAATAATCATGTTGTGCATTATTATGCAAGTGGTCATGATATCATGCAAAGTTCGTTTATCCCAAAACCGTGCAGGGCCCTTGATTATAGCAAATCTTGACTAGAGAACACCAAACGCTCGCTCCACATCTTTTTGACAAGCTTCTTGCATCATTGCAAAATATTGTTTCTTTTTATCTTCGGATTTGGAAATGGTTTGAACAAGGGTTGGCCATTTCGGGTATATGCCATCGGCTAAATAATAACCGACATCATAATTCTTTCCTTGAATTGTATAATGAGCAGGAGGAGTAATACCTTGCGTTAGGTTGTCAAACAAATTAGATGCTTGTAATACATTAATATCGTTATTAGAACCTGGCAAGCCAAAGAATGCATGCCATATCCATAGGTCATATGATGCTACTGCCTCAAGAATAATGGTTGGGCCTCCGTGACGTCCTGAGTATTGTCCCGCCCATGCTGTTGGACAGTTTTTCCATTCCCAATGCATACAGTCTAGACTTCCCAACATTCGTGGGAAACCTTGCTCTTCGCCTTTTTGTAACAGTCTTGCAACATCGTCGGTATTGGGGGATCTAAGATATTCATCTCCATACACTTCTACAATTGCTCTGCAAAAACTCTTCAAACATTCAATTATAGTTGACTCACCAATCCTTACATATTCGTCAGTACTATCTGCCGGTGCACCATATGCCAACATGCGAAATGCTGTTGTTGCTTTTTGTAAAGTAGATAGTCCAAGCCGGCCGACACCATCCACCTTCTGTATGAAATAGTTATCGTGCTCTCGTACAGCGCCGACGATACGAAGGAAAAGACTCCTTTGCATTCGGAATCTTCTACGGAATAAATTTGCACCGTATGTGGGATTATCAGAAAAATAGTCATTGTAGAGTCGAGAATTACCTTCTTCCCTCCCGCGGTTGATTACCACATGACCAGGAACTGAGCCGATACGTTTTGGCCTCTCTTCCTCTTTAAAGAAATAAGCCATTATTTCATTGTTAGAGGCATAAAGACGAGCTAAGATTTCATCCTCCTCCTCCCATTGTTTCATATCCTCCTCCCATTGTTCAACGTAATGAGAAAATGTTTCGTCATCAGAAGAAGAAGAAGAAGAAGGTAGGTGTGATGGTCCAGCTCCATAGTTCATTGTTGAAGAGGGGATTTGGAGAAATGAATTATAGATTGGTGATGAGTTGTTAATAGGTGTATGTTGTGTTATTATATAATGTTTTTACCCACATTGGATTCTTTCCCGCATCGTTTTCTACCCACATTGGATTCTCCCACTAATATTGGTTTTCTACCCACATTGGATTCTCCCACCCGCATCGTTTTCTACCCACATTGGATCCTCCCACTAGCATTGGTTTTCTACCTACATTGGATTCTCCCACCCGCATCGTTTTCTACCCACATTGGATTCTCCTACTAGCATTGGTTTTCTACCCACATTGGATTCTCCCACCCGCATCGTTTTCTACCCACATTGGATCCTCCCACTAGCATTGCATTGGATTCTCCAACTAGCATTGGTTTTCTACCCACATTGGATTCTTCCACCCGCATCGTTTTCTACCCACATTGGATTCTCTCACCCGCATCGTTTTCGACCTACATTGGATCCTCCCACTAGCTTTGGTTTTCTACCCACATTGGATTCTCTCACCCGCATCATTTTCTACCCACATTGGATTTTCCCACCAGCATCGTTTTCTACCCACATTGGATTCTCCCACCAGCATCCTGAATACAGCTACACAGGAAGTCAATACGGAATACCTGACTACAGAGGAGGTGGATACGGAGGAGTTGACTTTCCAGACTTTTAGTATTTTTCATGTATTATGTTTTGCCTATTTATCATGTAATTTTCAATTCATGTTTTTGCTTTCTATGTAATAGTCGTGGATTTAGTAATATGAATGTCTGTTTAATTTAATCTGAATGCCTATTTTATATTAATACATTTAATAATATTATTACTAATATTATTTATATTATATAACTTTTATTTTTTTATTATTTTTATATATTCAAAATGAGAGTAATATTAAATAATATTAATTAAAATATAAAATTCCAATAATTAAAGAAAATTAATTCTATTTCTTATTATCAATTCATTAAAGAAAATTAATTTTATTTAAATATATGATTACATTATATATTTTTAAAATAAGTAAAAGAATTAAAAAATTGAGAGAAATTGAAATGGAGTTGGAAATGGAGGAGTATGGTTGGAGTGGTAAAACTCTAAAATGACATATTCTATTGTAAAACCCCGAAAATTTGAATATAGTGTGATAAATAATTATAAGTATGTTATATGATGAAAATAATACATTTTTATATTTGAGTATGATAGGAATTGATTTGAGATCAATTCAATGCATATTTGTGAATATACGAGTGTAAATACACAAAACATGCACAAAGGCAAATAGTGAGAATCTGAGAATTTTGACTAGTTGAGAGTTTTTATATTTTGCACACTGATTTATTTAGAATCTGGGAAAGTGTATAAGATCAAAGTTGTAGGTCTCTTCAAGGGCTTTCCAACGAATCTTAGATCACCTCATTCCGAGATCATATGAGAAAGTTATAGCCTTTTCACCGAACCCCAGTCTGAGAATGACCCAGGAACCTGCGCAGTCGACCGCCGTGGTCGCTGCGGTCGACCGCGCAGCGAACCTGGTTCTGCCAGTTCTGTTTCGGGTCAGTATGTTTCAGGTTGGTTTTGTTTATACCAAACCCGGTTGTTACCCCACTTATATATACTCGTTTTGAAGCTCTCAGAACCCTCTATTGAACCCTAATAGCCTCAGCCCCCTTCTCTCTCTCCTCTCAAAACCCTAGCTCGGTTTGTGGCATTTTTGGGCGTTTCGAAGGATTTTCGGTGGAATTTCGCGAGATTCTTGGTGGATTCAGCGAGAGGAATCATTCTCCTACAGATCTAGGGCTTGGTTCTCATCAGAGGCGAGTAACATCTCGCCCAACTTCACCTCTTTTCGTTTTCATGCTTAAATTTGAGTTTTTCCGGTTTTATTGGGCCTAAAATCGTATTTTGTATAAGTAATAGATCTTTATGGTAACTTAAGTATTTCAGGTTTGTTTAAAAACCCACCCACGAATTTGTCTTCATGAGATCTAGATCTGAAAATGATTTAATAAGAGTAAATCATGTTTTTTCTGCTTTAATGACATCTAAATCATGATTATTTTCGTTGGAAATCTAACTATTTGATTTTAAATGATTAAAACTTGTAGTTTTCTGTTCTATGACTTGGTATAAATGTTAGATTTATGTTAAGATGGAAATCGTCGATGTTTGATTGGGTTTTGAAGCCGACAGAAACCCTAACTGGGCTTCTGTCAGCTTCGCGGTCGACCGTAGTGGACGCGGCGGTCGACCGCTCAGAGATAGTCTCAGCAGAATGTTTCTGCTGTTTGAGCGGTCGACCGACATGACCACAACGGTCGACCGCCGATCAATTTTGAGCATAGTGGCTTTGGCGCCGTGAGCGGTCGACCGGAGTGGCCTCTGCGGGCGACCGCCGCACAGTTTTGGCCACTGTTGTTTTATTGTATATTTTCGGTGTGTTCGAGCGTTCGCCTCACTTATCTGGCACTAGTTACAATGTTAGTGATTTTTATCGGTACATGTGAGTAGACTTTTGACACAAGTACCGATCCGCACACCGAGGCATGTGTGACATGAGTCTATGTGTATCTTTTGTGTATGTAATATATCATTGACACTTACAGTCTACATGATTTACTTTTTAGTCCTCGTATTGGACACTCATTCATTTCAGTCCTCGTGTTGGACATTCATTGTACCCTGTCCTCGTGTTGGACATGTATTACTTTTTAGTCCTCGTATTGGACACTCATTCATTTCAGTCCTCGTGTTGGACATTCATTGTACCCAGTCCTCGTGTTGGACATGTATTACTTTTTAGTCCTCGTGTTGGACGCTCATTCCATTCAGTCCTCGTGTTGGACATTCATTTTGCTTAGTCCTCGTGTTGGACATGCATTGTTATTTAATCCTCGTGCTGGATATGCATTACCATTCGGTCCATGCGTTGGACAACGGTTATATTCAGTACACGAGTTGGACGTTCACTTGCATATTAGACCACGCGCTGGACATTTGTTAAGCTATAAGTATGACACTTATCTAAATCAGGACATGACATGATTTCATGAGATTTGGACAATGATAGCTACCTAGACTGGACACGACACTTATGTGATATTGACCTTTGACACTTATATGGTTTCGGCGTGACTTTTGATTAAGTATTGGGATAGGCTGTTTCTTTTAGTTTATTATTCATGTAGTAGACTTCGGGTTTGGTAATTAGGGATTTACAATTTGAGATAAAAGGTATATACATGAGGGTTTCCTTGTTTGGATTATTTCGCTCGACGTACCTATGCTCGTGTTGTAATTTCCTAAATACTAAAACCCATTATTTGCTAGGAGTAATGATTTTTGACTATTATGTAATAACTATATTTTCTGTATACAACGAGCCCTTTCCCTTGGGGTTGGTTGTGATGTTGCTCGCTAGCGCTTTGACGCTCGTTGTCCCTCCCCCTTTCAGGTAACGAGCCAGGAGCCCGGAGAGTCGCAGGTTGATGGCGACACACTTTAGTGTTCAGCTGACTATTTTTTTAGATATGTGAGACATCTATTTGATCATTACTATTATTTCATCAGTCCTTCGTATTTTATCTTTTACTTGCTTTTGTACCTACACCTGTCATTGACTCTACTAGAGTGATAGAATTGTGATGGTGAAACATGTTATTGCACGGTGTGGTGCATGGCAGGTTTGACATTCTTGGTTTCACATTGGACTGCAGCCTTGTGTGAACCCAGGGGCGTCACATCTATGAAATATGCTAAAGTGGGGATTGCAAAATGCAGTCCCCCATTGGAGTTGCTCTTAGATCGTCATGTTTCTGTACGTTTCCTATTTTTACTCATGAGCCAAACATAAGAGTTCTAATAAAATAGCTTTCCATCCTCATTTTTATTTCTATTAAAAAATTATTGGAAGGCATGTAAAAACTTTTCCAGTACACTTTTCCTACTCCTTTTCTTTTACCAAATGGACCAAACAGGCCCTCAGGGCATCTCCAACCCTTTGCCTCAAAATGGTGCAAATTTTGCACCAAAATGGTGCAAAAGTCACATCTAACAGTAATTCATCTCCAACCCATTGCACCATTTTTTGCACCAAAAAGGAATATTCTCAGTATCTTTCTTTTTATCTACTTTTATATGATTATTTTTTATTCCCTATATTTTTAACTATTTCAACAATTAACCCCACATATCAAATTTTATTTTTTCACATATTTTCCAAACAAAATGATTTATTATTTAAAAATTAAACTAATAAAACAATAAAATATTATTTTATTAATTAAAATAACTTGATTGCTAAAATATTATATTTTTATTATTGATATTGCCAAAATATTACATTCAAGAACACAACAGGAAATAAAATTCAAGGAAATAATTAAACATTAACAACAATGTAAAAAATACAAATTTAGTATGCACTTAACTATCTGAATTAGTGTATTCCTCCCATAGATGATCTATCAATGCATTACGAAGCGCAATATGAGCATCTTTATCCTTGATTTTTCCGTAACGTGTAATAAATTGAGTAAATCTTGTAGTTTCATCTGCTACCATATCAACTTCTGGTGTTGGTGCTTCCCTCACTTCTTGAATTGGTGCATAAAGATCACGTTCATCCTCGATTATCATATTGTGCATAATAATGCATGCAGTCATTATGTCATGTAATACATGTTTTTTCCAAAAACGTGCTGATCCTGCCACGATTGCAAATCGTGATTGGAGAACTCCGAACGCACGTTCTACATCTTTTCTACATGCTTCCTGTTTCATGGCAAAATATTTTTTCTTCCTACCTTGTGGCTGTTGGATTGTTTGTACAATAGTAGCCCATTTCGGATATATACCATCAGCTAAATAATAACCCATATTATACTCTTTTCCTTGAATAACATAGTGAGCGGGAGGAGCAATACCTTGAGCTAGGTTAGAGAAAAGATTAGATGACTCCAGCACATTGATATCATTATTGGTACCTGGCATACCAAAATATGCGTGCCATATCCAAAGATCATAATCTGCCACAGCTTCGAGGATAATAGTTGGTGACCCACTACGTCCTGTGTATTGCCCAGACCATGCTGTTGGACAATTTTTCCATTTCCAATGCATACAATCAAGACTTCCTAACATTCCTGGAAAACCACGTTTTTTTCCAATATAGAGTAGCCTAGCAATATCGTTAGCGTTAGGTGTTCGTAGATACCGCTCTGCGAATATTTCCACCATAGCACGACAAAATTTTGTCATACTTTCAATTGCTGTTGACTCACCTATTTTAACGTATTCGTCCGTAGCATCAGCTGGTAGACCGTATGCCAACATGCGAAAAACAGCTGTTACTTTCTGTAACGGTGATAATCCCATTCTACCAAGTCCATCACTTCGTTGTTGGAAGTAATAGTCATGATCTTTCACTGCATCAACAATACGAAGGAACAAACTTCTTGACATCCGATATCGACGACGAAACATATCTTCTCCAAAACGTGGATTATCGGCAAAGTAATCTATGACCAAATTCTGATGCGCATTTTCTCGATCGCGGTTGATCACTGCATGACCGGGAATCGAGCCACCATGGATCGGTTGGTAGTTGTGTTGACGTAAATTGTTAACGAGGATCATGTTGTTGTTGATGTACTCACAAATTACTTCTTCGGTTTCATCAATCTCTGCAATGATATTGGACAGAAAATTATCATCATCCGAAGATGAAGATGATGATAAGTATGATGGACCTCCAACATCGAAATTCATTTTTGAAGTAAGAAAAGAATGACTGAAGTATGCAGAAATGGAGAATAATAATTTTAACACAACAACGAGTAATTGTGTGGATGTACCTAATCTAGTATGCTATTTATAAAACTTTGCTTAGCTGTATACATTGAACAATGTGTAAAGTTGAGCTGATTTTAGGAAATGCTTTCCAGCTGTTATCAATTTGTCACAAAATTCAAATTTGCTTTTAGCTGTATACGTTGGACAATGTATAAAGCTGACCTGATTTCAAAAATTGATTCCCACTCGTACAAAGCTTTCACACAATTCAAGGAGAGCTGAGCTGTGTATACGTTGGACAATGTGTAAAGCTGACCTGATTTCAAAAATTGATTCCCACTCGTACAAAGCTTTCACACAATTCAAGGAGAGCTGAGCTGTGTATACGTTGGACAATGTGTAAAGCTGACCTGATTTCAAAAATTGATTCCCACTCGTACAAAGCTTTCACACAATTCAAGGAGAGCTGAGCTGTGTATACGTTGGACAATGTGTAAAGCTGACCTGATTTCAAAAATTGATTCCCACCGACAACGTTGGATAATGTGTAAAGCTGATCAGTTTGTACAAAATGATTCAATTTCAAATGTTGACCACCGACAAATTCAAACCAACCGCAAATTCAAATTCAAATTCAAACAAAAAAAACAAATTTGGATTGGCTATAAATAACATTCACGAATTCTACTTCAAACCACCCAATTCGAAGTATTTCTTCAAAGTATTTCTGATCTCCAAACCAACCAATGTCTGTTCGATCAACTGGGTACACGGTTACTGAAGATGTGCTCCTTTGTCAAGTATTCTTGGATATTTCTCAAGACCCTATTATCGGTAGAAACCAGTCTCGAGATGCATTTTGGTCTCGTGTGGAGGACAAATACAATGAACTTCGAGATCAGCATTTTGAGATGCGTGTGAGCCGACGTTCTCGAATGGAAATCATAAGTAATGAAGTAAGGAAATTGAATGCGTGCTTGAGACAAGTAGAGAATCTGAATCCAAGTGGTGCTTCAGATGAAGATATTGTAAGTATTCTATTAATTATCGTTTGAATTTTATTATTATTGTTGAAATACATAACTTGATGTTCACTATAATTTACAGTTAGTTCGAGCAAAGATGTTATTTATGCAAGAACCGAAGTACAAAAAAGGTTTCAAATTTGATCATGTCTGGAATATGGTTAAAAATTTCGAAAAATTCAAAGATGATGTCCCCACAGCAAGACAAGTTGGTCGAAGACAATCCCAAAGTGTGAACTTCGACTCGTCACAATCAGATAATCCCACTCCGGAATCTCCTATATCAACATCTCCTGGATTGTCATCATTTACTCCATCTGAACGACCTATTGGGGTAAAAAAAGCTAAATTGAAAAGGAAAAATGATGATCATGAGTCAAGTGTAGTGGACTCCAGCATTTGATATCGAACGAGAAAAGATAGCTATGAAAAAAGATAGAGATGAATGGAAAATTATAATGAAAGATTTGAATTCCATTGCTGATCCAAACGTGCGTGAGTACGTTCGAGCTCAACAGATTAAAATAATACAAAAAAGAAATCAACAAGAACAAGGGTCTGCTTCTAATTTTGGCAATTATTTTAATGATATTGGACACTCTGGCCCCGATCTACCAGATTATTGAGAGTTGCTTGTCCATCTTAAGTAACGTCACCATGTTTAGTTTGTATTTTATGTTTTATTTTAATGAAGTTTTATATTATGTGTGTCAGTTTTTATATGTTATGTATTTCAGATATGTAATTTATATTTGAATTATGTATTATGATTGCTCTTTAATGAAGTTTTATATTATGTATGTCTAGATTTTAATATTATAATTAATAATAATGTTTGTTAAATTTTAGCATTTTTTTAATTTAAAAAAACCATAATTTATTTTGTCCACATTATACAATTGGGGTGAAATTATAAAATTTAAATATTATTAGGGTTGTTTTATATATTTAATGAAACAATTGGGGACAAATTGTAAATATATAAAAGTATGAGGTTTAAAAAAAAATAAAAAATAAAAAAATAAAAAAAAACAGTAATGGGGGATGAACAGTGCGACGCCAAATATAGCGTCGCGCTGTTCATCCCCGTCAAAATGCGGCAACAAATGCCGCTCGATTGGAGCTCCCACGCAGCGGCATTTTCCCTTTTCGCCTCAAAATGCCGCTGCGTTGGAGATGGTCTCAGGTAAAAGCCTGTTGCGACGTAGCTAAATACTGTAGACGCTATAGTGCAATCATTTACCTTATTATTTAAAGCCATAAAGGGTTTCTTTAACTCAAAACCCAAAACCTTACCCCTATTCAGTTCTAGGTCTTCCCTCTTCCAAAAAGTGCCATAAATCCAAAGTTTTGCTCCCATTATCTTCAAAAGAAAGTTTTGCCCCCATTTATTTTAGAACCCATCCTCTTCCAAAATGAATTTTCACCTGTAAATCTGAAGTTTCACCTCCGTTAACTTTTAAACTCATCAACTTTCTAAAAGGTTTATCGCCTGGTGATTTACCCTTAATCATTTTTTACAGTTATTAAATATCTCTCTCTCGATCTCTCTATAGCTACCCCTTGGTCACACCTCCCCCATCATCCAAACGCCATAGAAATACCCCACCCCTCCCACCCTCATCGCCTCATACGACCAGCCCCCTCCACAGCTCTCTCTCTCTCTCTCCATCTAAACTCTATGCTTTCTTCCCTAAGAATCAAAATGAAATTTATTGCACTGCATCAAAGATTAATCAGGGCCGAAAGTATCCATACCAACAAACCCACCCACCGCCGACGGTCAGCTATTCGGCTTGCCACATGTTCGCGACGACGCGGACCCACCTGCCCCGCCGCCTCCTCGGCATACTACGCCAATACCATCAGGCTTGGCGACGGCAGTGCGCGCTAGCGAGTGCCAGTACTGCTGGGGCCGCAGTTTGCCAACCTCCCGAGGCCGCTGGGGGGTCAGGCCAGAACGCGCGTGCACAAAAAGAGCGCCAGGCAGGCTCAAACGCTGGCGCAGATCATTGCAACACGGCCGGAATGACGGGTCACCGCCCGCAGTAATGATGGCTCCCGCGCGGAGCATGCTTACGCGGCGGCGGAAACCCCCATGCTCGGGCAGGCAGCGCGCCCTTTCCTTTCTGCCCTCTGCAACCGTGATCTACTTGTCGGCCGCCCGGGCCACACTTGTGCGCACGTGGTCGGCACGATGGGCGTTTTCCCTCTAGGGCCCCACCGCTGGAACCTTGGCGGTGCCGTCTATGGGGATCGGAAGCGGTTCGACGATTGGAAAGCGGGTCGGGTCGGATGGCGAAGTTTGGCGGTCTGGATTTGCACGCTCATGCCTGGCGGCCTAAGCGGGTGCCCGCAGATTTGAGTGACTCGGTTTTTCGAGACTGAAGCAGGTTTGTGGTATGAATGTTTACAAACGCTGCGGGCGAGGGAGTGGGCAGTCATGTAAAATTTTTCTACCATTTTTTCCTTTTCAATTTTGTTTATTATCTTTCTTTTTTTGCTTTTTTCTTTTTCTGTTTTTGGTTTCGGCCAAGGAGATAACCCACAGCCTTGTTATGGATGGGACTGCAATTCTTGCTAGAGCTTCGTAGCTGTCCTGGGGGTGCTTATTTATTTATGCCTTTTTCTTTTTGCGCTTGGAGAATTAAACATTTATGATGATGTTTTGTTTTAATGTTTAGCTGGTTATTGAGCAAGCAGGAATAATTATATGTAGTATTAATAAGCACTACAAAAATTATTTTAATTTTATAGGGCAAATGGCTCAATGGGGTAAAACAATGGCAGTTTGATGGATAACAAAGAAACAGATCTCCTTTTTTCGCGGTAGACTTTTTACCACTTTTCTATCTAGTAGTTAAATTAGGTAGAGATCCTTCTAAAAGGGCCTGTTACTGGTTGTGGTGCCAAAAAATTAAAGAAAGTAGCCCAAAAAATAGCTAACATAGAAAAATTTAACTTATATTTTCCCCCAACGATCTAGGGCTGTTTGGGTTTTGGGGGGTTTATGCCTGCGGAAGGGGGGTGGAAAGTGCCGCTGCGGCATTTATGGCAAGCTTTCTCCCAAAAGACGCCCCTCTTTACTAGCGTTTTTGGAGAGAAAGCTGGCCATTAATATGGCAGGCTTTCCACCCCCTACCCCCGAGCAAAATACTCAAACAACAGCCCCTAATGTTTAGCTGTAAGAAAAAAAAATAAAAAGAACATTCTCTTTTGCCTCTCCGCCTCCTCATCTCGTCACCAGGCTGTCTCTCTCATTCTCCGCTCTCCATCTGCTTTTCGGCCGCCTCTAATCCCTCTTCTCCCTATTTCTCCTCCCCCCTACCGCTTCGCATAGCTGCGCGGATCGGTTGTCGAAGATCGTCGGTTCTGGGGCCGGCCAGTGGAGGGGACAAATGAATGTGCTTGAGCAGCTAGTCTTGTTGCGGGACCCGCAGGGTGCGTGGTGGATTGTCAATCGATGAGATCGCAAAGGTGCCAGGATCCTGGATGGGAGAAGGGGAGGGTCAATGAATGGGAGTACTCGGGCTGGTCTGATTACTGGCGAGGAGAGAAGAGTTAAGATTTAACTAAAAGCTGTGCCATTTTTTAATCTCTCGCTCAGTTTTTATTTAGAATTTGTGTTTAGGCTGTTTGGAAATGGAGAATTAGTATCTTTTTAATAGAAATTTAGTACATTTTCAACTGGCTATAAATCAATAACTGAGTTTAGGCCCGTCGAGTGCACCAGATTTGTTTAATATAACAGGAAATTGATGTAGCAAAAGATACAAACAGTTCAAGAACAGTTTAAAACCGAAACGATCTTGTTTGAAAAATTGAAAAGCACCGAGAGAGTTAGTTCAAATCTCAGGAGAACTTATTATTTTTATTTTTTATTTTCAAATTTAATATGGAGAGCTTTTGTGAAGAAACTTGACAAGTTTGTCACTTGCAAGAAGATAGGCA